AGGAGGAGGAGGAGGAGGAGAGGAGGAGGAGGTAGGAGGAGGAGGAGGAGGAGGAGGAGGAGAGGGAGGAGCGAGTTTGGGGAGGAGGTGGAGGGTGGAGGAGGAGGCGGAAGGAGGAGGAGGAGGAGGAGGAGGAGGAGGAGGAGGAGGAGGAGGAGGAGGAGTGAGGAGGAGGATGTGAGGAGGGGGAGGAGGAGGAGGAGGAGGGCAGGAGCAGGAGGAGGAGGAGGGGGAGGAGGAAGGAGGAGGGGAGGAGGAGGAGAGGAGGAGGGAGGAGGGAGGAGGAGGAGGAGAGGAGGAGGAGGAGTGAGAGGAGGAGGAGGAGGAAGGCGGAGGAGAGGAGGAGGGGAGGAGGGTAGGAACAGGAGGAGGATGAGGGGAGGAAGAGGAATACTAATACTTATAATGGTAAGGATTTGTACTCATATTATTCAGGATAATTATACGAATACTGATAATATTATTAATCATACTACGCATCAGAAGAATAATACTAATACTAATAGGAATAGTAATAACAAGGAAAAGAAGAGGAGGAGGAAGAGGAGGAGGAGGAGGAGGAGGAGCAGGAGCAGGAGCAGGAGCAGGAGCAGGAGCAGGAGCAGGAGCAGGAGCAGGACCAGGGAGAGAGGGGGGAGGGGGGGGGAGGGGGCAGGAGGAGGAGGGGGAGGAGGAGGAGGGAGGAGGAGGAGGAGGAGGAGGAGGAGGAGGAGGAGGAGGAGGAGGAGGAGAGGAGGAGGAGGAGGAGGAGGAGGTGGCATGGGAAGGGGAAGGGGGGGAGGAGGAGGAGGAGGAGGAGGAAGAGGAGGAGGAGGAGGAGGAGGAGGAGGAGGAGGAGGGCAGGAGGAGGAGGAGGAGGAGGAGGAGGAAGAGCACGTATGATATTGATGGGGAAGAGAGGCAACGAGGAGACGAAAAGGAGGAGGAATGATGGAATATGGGGGAGGAGGGAGGGGGGTAGGCGGGGGAGGGGATGCATGCAGCAGGCAGCGGGGGGGGGGGAGTGCGGGCGGAGGCGAGAAGAGGAGGAGGCGGAGGGAGTGTGGCCGAGGAGATGGCGATAAGGGGCAGGAGGGAAGGGGCCCCGGGAGCCGCGATTCAGGCGAGGTGGAGCGAGGAGATGCCCAGATGCGCCCGTCCTCGGTGATGGGGCCTGCGTGTGTGCTCCCCCCCGTGCGCCGCGCGGGCGTCGCCGCCGCCGCCACCACTGCCTCGACCTGGCCCGCCCGAGGCCGCTTGTTAAACAAGGGGCCCTTCAGCAACGCGGGGCCCGAGAAGATCATGCAGCTGACGATGCCCGCCGCCCCGCCGCCATGTTCGACAGCAGATCATAGGGGACCTTGTGTAACCTCGCAATTCCGTCTTTGGAGTGCGCTAGCGTTGGGTAGTCGATGAGGCAGCGCCGGTTCAGCGTCGATGAGCGTGGATTCAGCATCGATTAGCGTCGGCGTGTGTCGATTGGCGTCGGTTCGCGAGAGCCAGCAAGATGGTATGGGAGGCTCCCATGAGCTGCCGCAAGAGCCTTCGGCCGGAAAGGAGTAACTCATCCAGAAGCCGCGGAGCGACCAGCTGGGCGAATCGGGATGCACACGTGCACTGGGTGCACAGCTCCCGGCCGCGTGAGGTACAAGGACGAATGTGAAGTTCATTGTCTCTGTTGGTTGGTGGCGCGGGAAGAAGAAGACGTCTCCCGCCGACCCGCCGCCTCTCGGCACCCGCTGGGGCCGTCTCGACTGGGTCCTCGGCTCGATCTCGAGGTGCCGAGTCACGCAGCTGAGCGCCAGGGCAGGACGTGTCGTGCAAGCTTGCAACCGCGAGGGCGTCGAGATCGTTGCGCTGGCGTCAGCAGCACCGGGCAGCCAGCTCGCGCTGCACGCTGCTGTGCAGCGTGTCGGTGGGCGCTTCGGTTTGATGGTCAAGGTGCACCGCTCCCGGGCCCTGCGCAGCCCGGCGCCGGCCGCACAGCGGGCATTCCCTGACCAGGCCGGGCCCTCACCGGCCTCGGGGGCGCCGGCATGGGGTGTGGGGGCGAAATCGGGGTCGGAGGGTACGAGCATTCGAGGAGCTTGCCAGTAGTACGTACCATTGGCCCCCAGCTGGTGCGCGGTGCCTTCCTCCTGCCCCCCGCAGGAGGGCGCGCGTTCGATCCTCCCTCCTCCTCGATGCTAGTCGATCCTCCCTCCTCGATCCCCCAAGCCACCCACCTCCTCGATGCTCGGTCCTCCCTGCTCATCGACTCCCAGGATGATCAGGAGCCTCGAGGCGGGGGTCAACGCAGACTTGGGTCAGTCAGGGCGCGGGATCTTGCATCAGGCGATCGCAAACATGGATCAAGGGGGCGTGGATTAGCGACGGGTCCCATTTCCATAAGGGGAATCGCGGATTTCCGCCGCCGAGCGATGCGGCACCAGCCGCATTTGGGGAGGGCACCTCCCCCGATCCATGGATTTGGCGACCGCGCGCCAAATCCATGGATCGCTAATCCATGTTTGCGCGCCCCCGATTGCAGGATCCTGCAGGGCCAGGGTCGCACCGACCCGGGCTTGGGCGCAGGCTCCTGCAGGAGCCAAGGGGACCCCGCAAGGCCTCCTGGCTCCTCGAGGCCCCAAGCCTTAAGTCGTCAAAAATAATAAAAAATAGTCAGGGGACGAACGTTTGTACAATTTTTGAACATTTTTGGAGCATTTCCTGGGTATTCTTTATTTTTCGCCCAAAATCGGCCTGGAGGAGGACAGGCCCTACTTAGCCCTAGCCGCAATGTCACAGTGAAGACGTGGCCTCACTGAGGTCTCCTTCTTCGCACCAGGGATGATACTTGTGGGTGGTTTTGCTCGATGCATCTGCAGAAAAAGACCCCCGATCCCTGATGTTCCCGGCCCTCCTCACTGAGGTCCCTCCCGAAGGGTTTGGGGCCCTTTTTCTGGTTGATCACTGGCAGCTGCAGGGGGCCCGTAGTTTTCTGGCCGCGCGGGGGTGCCTTGCGGTTGCGGCCTGGGGCGTGGCCGATCGGCTCGGACGGCCAGGGGGAGGGGGCCTCCGCGTGGGTCGCGCGACCGGGGCCAGCAGGAGGCGGAGTGGCCCCGCGCTCTGCGGCAAGCAGTGGCGAGGCGTCCTGGCTCGCCGATAGGTCCACCAAACAATGTTCTGAGAACCTGTTGTGGTTTCCAAGAAATGCTCTTAGAGCATGTTTGGCTGGGACATGTCTTGCTTTATCACAACGGGTTGATGTTCCAAGAATATTGTTTTGGTTGTTAGAACGTTTTTGGGTTCTGAGAACATTTCGTGGTAGGCCTGTAGGCACGCCGGGACGGTTGGTCCCTGCTCAATAAGAGTGACCTTTGGCCGAAGTGGCCTTCGGTGCGGGTCCAATGGGCTCCCCCGATCGCCGAACGCGATGAGGCATTGGCGTCCGGCGCGCTTGTGTTTGGTCCCCCCGCGGCCCCCAAGGAGCCGCGCACCAAAGGTCACTCTTAGTCAGGGTCACTCTTTCGTGTAGTCGAGCTCTCGGCTTGCCGCCAGCGCCGGTCTGCCAGAGGCAACCTGCTCCCTTAGTGTCTGGCCGAGAGGGCACGTGTTTGCCGCATCCCTGCCCTTACCCCGTCACCCCGTCCTCGTCCTCGGTCGCAGGCCTAGAGTTTGACACCAATACCACTGTCGGCGGTGTGCCTTCACCGAGAGAAGAGGACCCCGATCTCGGTGATGGTGGTAATATTCTGGCTGCCAAGGCGACCGACATATGACCAACAACACCGAAATCCAGGACCATCTTCCGCATGTGGAGACAACCCCCCTGTGTTGGTGTTGGTGCCCATTTCCAGGCCTCCACCTTCTCTCGTATTGAACAAGCATACAGTCAGCACGTATAGTAAGGACGCGCGCCTTCATCACTACGGTACCCTCGTGTCCTTGCCTCTGCGGCCCGTCGTTCTTGCCGTTTTCACCGGTCGCCCGCCGCCCAGAAAATCCCATCTTCGGCCGCCAAGGATCTTGCATCTTTACCAGTGTCAGTTCAGTGTCGGTGAAGCCTGGCGCCCAGACGGCGCATTGGCAGATAAAAAAGTGCGCGTGCTGAATTGCGGGGAGAGGGGCAGGAGCGGGAAGGGGGGGCAAGGGAACAGGAGGAAGGAGCAGGAAGGGGGGAGCGCCTGCCCCGAAGACACGCTCTTGACTCTCGGGGAACAACGGCGCGCACCGACTCCGACAGTCTTGGGCCTTCCCGGGCCCCGAGGGCCCTTCGCAGCACGATCCTCGGGAGGAGGTGCCCTGCCCGGGGCACCGGCTCGGGCCTCTCGGGGGCCCACGGCGTGGAGCGGCCCACGGCGCCGGAGGTCTGGCCCGCCCCCGCCCTCCGCCGCGGGGGCCTCGGGCGGCGGGGGCCCCGAGTGCCTGCGCGGGGCCCGCCAAGGCTCCAGAGATCCTGCAGGGTCCTGCAGGCAGAGATCCTGCAGGGTCCTGCAGGCAGCCGGGGCCGCACGGACCCCGGGCTTGCGCGCAGGGTGCTGCAGGGTCCTGCGGAGCCCGACCGATCCGGGAGGAGGAGGAGGAGGAGGAGGAGGAGGAGGAGGAGGAGGAGGAGGAGGAGGAGGAGGAGGAGGAGGGTGGTCCTGACGTGGGCAGATGCCCGACCACCTCCTTCCGTCGGCGGGGCGCTGCCGGGAGTGGCCCTGGCCGCTGGCCCGAGGTGTTGCCCCCGCGTTCCCGGGGAGGCGCAGGTGGCTGCTGGAGCACCCCTCACCGAGCGCGTCCGGCTACTCGCCGAGTGCCTGCTCGCAAAAACGTCTTGACAAACATATGTTTGCCACTCTGGAATCTACCGTATAGAGGGCTGCTGGAGCACCCCTCACCGAGCGCGTCCGGCTACTCGCCGAGTGCCTGCTCGCAGACGTCCGAAAAGCATATGCTTGGCCACTCTGGAATGTATACCGTATAGATCCACCGCGGCGGAGCCGGGCCATTTGCGCGAGGAGTCACTCTGCAAGCAGAGGAGCGCGGCAGTCCAGCCCCTCACGAGGCCCAGAGGGCCCCAGGGCCCCCCCCCCCAGCCGCGCGAGAAGCACGGGGAGCACCTCGGCCCAGGGCCACTGCTGGCAGCACCCCGCGGCGCTTCTGGCCCTCGTCGCAGCGCCGGGGCTGAGCCCGCGGCCGCCCTGCCGCCAGGCTTCAGACCGTGCCCGCCTTCTTTATCTGCAGCTTCGTCGCCACCGTCGTCGAGGCCCTTCGCGCGCCCGCGCGCCGCGTGCCACGGGGGCCGCGGCGGGCGCGCACGGGCCTTGGGCCGCTTGCCTCCGTCCGTCCTCCATCCTCCGTCATCCCCCTCCGCCTATCCCGGCATGCCTTCCAGCATCCTTCTCCGTCCTCCCCTCTTGACGTTCGGCGGTCATGAAGGCCAGACTTGCTGCGTTCCTCGATAGTGAGCAGTGAAAGCGCCATTGTGGACGCCGTCTTCACCGAGAGGGAGCGCGACGTACATACCTCCCTGTGCTGTCCGAGGTGAGGCAGCTGTCACAGGGTGGCAAGGACATCGCCGAGATCATGAAGATCACGGACTGGAAGTCCTCGGTGGCGCATCATCGGGGCATCCGGCGGTCGGCAGCGGCGGTGAAGCAGGGCGTGGCCTACGCGCAGACGGTCATGACCCTGGAGATTGGCGTCCGTCAAGGCGGTTTGATTTTTGTTTGCAGGTGCGTCCGAGGCCTTGCTTAGGATCCTTGTGGTCCTTTCCCCGCCGGGATCGGGACTGCCTTTCCTAATCCTTCCTCTCCCTCGTCCTCCTCCCCCTCCCCTCCCCTCCCCTCCCCTCCCCTCCCGTCCCCTCCCCTCCCTTCTCTGAAGTCGGGCACGTCCCTCCACAGGAGGAGGAATACTCAAAATAGTCAAACAAATAGTATGGCATGGGGACGATTTCTCGACTATGCTTGACCATGTTTGAGCAGTGTTTGTCTAGTGTTTATGTTCCGTCCAAAATCCGCCTGTAGGAGGACACGCCCGACCTAACCCGTCTCCCCTCCTCCCTTCCTCTCCTCCCTTCTTCCGTCTCCCCTCCTCCCTTCGAGATTTTTCGACCCAACCAGCCCGCTGACGCTGCGGAGTTACTCTAGAGAGCTTAGCCGCTTCGCTCCTGGGGAAGCTCGACGAGTCCCTTCCGTCGAGATTCTTCGAGCCGGCTGGCCCGCTGGCGCTGTGGAATCGCTCTGGAGCTTTCAGGAGGAGAAAAAACACACAGACACAATTCATCGTCGATTCCTCCGGAAAATGTGGGAAACTGTGGGAAGTGGGGGGGAAGACACAAGCCCAGAAACCATGGGAAAATAGGGGGCATCGTTTCATTTGTGTGTTTATTTGTGTGGCCTGGGGCCCCTTCAAGCTTGGCCGCCTCCTTCCTCTCCTCCTCGTGTCACCACCCACCAAACCACCCCAACCCAACCCGAAGGTCTCGATTTGCCCTCCATTTCCAGTCGGGAACATCGAGAAAACACATCTGGAACCCGTACCCCCCCCAACCCGAAATTCGGGTCTTCGGGTTGGGTTGGGGTGGTCTGGTAGGTAGTCATCGTGGTGGCGGGGCGAGGCGCCGGAGCGGTGGGCGCCGCCCCGCCGGTGGCGCGGGGCGCGCGCGGTGCGGCCGCCGCCGGTCGCGCCGGGCGTCCCGCGGGGCCGCCCGCGGCCTCTCTCCGTGCGGTCGTGTTGGCGTCGGTCGGGTATGGCCAGGATTGAGTCGGGCCTGTCCCCCTACAGGGGGATTGGAGAGGCCTGACGGCCAGTGCCGCCGACCCTGATCGAAAGGGCTAGGAGGGGGGGGAGGAAGCGGAGGATGAGGAGGAGGAGGAGGAGGAGGAGGAGGAGGAGGAGGAGGAGGAGGAGGAGGAAGTCGGGCCTGTCCCCGTACAGGGGGATTTTCAACGGAAAAGAAAAGATACCCCCAAAATAATCCCAAACTGGCCCAAACATAGTCTGGGGACGATCTTCTGCGTATTGTTTTCACCTTTTTGGGGGGCATGTCTGGGGTATTTTTTATTTTTCGTCGAGAATCCCCCTGTATGGGGGGCGCGCCCGACGTAAAGCCAGGACCCCGTGTAAGGGGACTCGGTTAGTGGTAGGGCCCTGGGGCCCCTCAATTGGCCAGGTTCACTAAACCAGGTTTGCCGTAACCGGTGTTTTTCGGGTGACGGCAGTTCCTGTTAGTGGAGATGGGACGGGGGGGCGCCCCCAGTACAAATCAGTAAACCAGGTTCCATTAAACCCAGTCCTGCCAACGCCCGAGTCGGGCCCGTCTCTCGACGGGAGGAATGTTCAGAAACAGTCCCAAAAATAGTCCGGGGACGATTTTATTGGGTTTTAAACAATTTCCCATGTTTTCCGTATCTTTTTCATGGTTCGTCCAGAATCCGCCTGTGGGGGGACACGCCCGACCTGAGGTTCTGTCCCAATTTGTGTTGTATGCATTCGTTTCGCGCGCATCCGCTGTGCCTCTCCCGTATCTCGTCGGTCTCGTGGTTGTTCACGGCCCCTTTATGGGGTTTGGGCTGTGCTCCTGTTTTCTCCACTTCCTCCTTCCTCCTCCTCGTCCTTCTCCTCCTCCTCATCCTCCTCTCTTCCCTTCTTCTCCATGGCAGGTGCCTCGCATGGTGGAGCTCCCTGTTGGGAGAGCTGGCACTTGTTTTATCATTCCTGCGTCGAGTTCTTGGAAACATGAAAGCGCCGACTTAGGCGGAGCGAGCGAACTAAATCATGCCGCGGGCAGGTGTATCTAAGTCGGGCATGCCTTCTGTGGCCGCAGCGCAGCCAAGCGTCGCCGTCAGTCATGGCACAAGTTTCTAGGACAGGCCGTCTGCTTTGCAGAGTGCTGAACGCATCTGCTGTCTGACTGTGGCGGGGCGCGCAGAGCCAGCGCATCGACGGCGCCTGGAGGGGAACTCAGGTTGGCCCTCATGCGCCCACTCCCGCCCCTCATTCCACTTGGGCCTGCCGTCCCGCCTTCGGGAGATAGGGAGAGACAGTGGCTCCAGTCGTTGCATCCAATCGGGAGGCTAGGGACACGCCGCTGCGTGCGCTGTCTTCACGCTTACTCTGGTTAGTTATCATGAGGCGCGAAGAAACGAAAAGAGTTGTGGCCCGACTCGGCTGGAGTAGCCTTTTCCGCTGCTGTGCGCTGTGAGGATCTTCGTCTTCCTCCTCCTCCTCCTCCTCCTCCTCCTACTTCTCCTCCTCCTCCTCCTCCTCCTCCTCCTCCTCCTCCTCCTCCTCCTCCTCCTCCTCCTCCCCTCCTCCTCCCCCTCTATCTCCTCCGGCGTCCTCCTCATCCCTGTCTGCATCTCCTCTTTCTCCTCCGTCTCTGTCCTCCTCGGTCGTCGGCACCCTCCTCGGTCCCCCCTTCCTCCTCCCTCCTCCTCCTCCTCCTCCTCCCTCCTCCTCCCTCCCTCCCCCTCCTCCTCCTCCTCCTCCTCCTCCTCCTCCTCCTACTCCTCCCTCCTCCTCCTCCTCCTCCTCCTCCTCCTCTCCTCCTCCTCCTCCTCATCCTCCTCCTCCTCCTCCTCCTCCTCCTCCTCCTCCTCCCTCCTCCCTCCTCCTCCTCCTCCTCCTCTCTCCTCCTCCTCCTCCTCTCTCCTCCTCCCCCGTGCCCTCCCCTGTCCGCGCACGCTGCCTCCCCGCCCTTGCGCACGACGCCCCGCGGGTCTGCCGAGCGCTCCGCAGAGGTCCGGCGGCCCCGCCGGGCGCGGCGGGGTCGGGCGGCCGCAGGCCTGCTTCGAGCAGTGGCGAAGCGTCCTGGCTCGCCTATAGGCCAAAATATTGGCCAACATATAGTCTGGGGACGTTTTTTTTTTTTTTTTGTTTTTGATTATTTTGGGGGTATTGTTTGACTATTCCTGGGCATTCGCCCAAACACCCGCCTGCAGGAGGACATGCCCGACCTGACGCAAGGTCTGGGTGGCCTCCGCGGGCACGCCGCCGGGCGGCCCGGACGGCGCGGCGGCCCCGCCAGCGTGCCTCGGAGGCGGGGGAGAGCTCAGCCACGCGCAGAGGGCCAAGCAGTGGCGAAGCGACCGGGCTCGCCTATAGCCCTACCAAACAAGGTTCTAAGCCTCTTGTGGTTCCCACGGAATGTTCTTAGAGCATTTCTGGCTGGGACTGTCGCGTTTTAGCGCATCGGGTTTATGTTTTAAGAACATTTTTTGCTCTTCGAACATTTTTACGGGTTCTAAGAAAATTTCGTGGTATGACTATAGGAATGATGCGGGGACGGTCGGTCCCTGCTGAGCTGGTGGGTCCGGCTTGGTCCCGGCGGATCACGGCGGGTGCGGTGAGTTCCGGTGATCTGCGGGAGCGGCAAAGAGGGGGGTGATGACTAGGGGGGAGGGGGGATATCATGGCGGGGGCCACGATGTTTCCCCAGAGTTCATGGCGCCTCTCCTTGTTTCATTACGTCCCTGGCCCCCCGCTGGGCCGCGCACGTGCCGCCGGCCATGATGTGCACCCGTTGGACACCCCCCCCGCTTGGCCGCGCCCGGGTGAGGTCCGGTGATCTCTTTCCGCGCACGCTGCAGGTCGTGGGGGCCCCAAACGGACCGCGCGAGAAAGCACCGCAGCCGGACGTTCTGGGTGTTTGGTTTTGTACAGTCGGGGCCTTGACCTAAGGAACCCCAAAATGAGGAACGAGGCCCCTATTTTCCACGAGTTAAACTTCGATTTCCCATCGGAAACAGAAGGAACACCTGAGGCAAGCTGTGAAACAATCAAGGAACACCGAGCCCCTCCCCAAAGAAAAGGGTTCCTTCTTCAGCGCCTCGACTGTATGTTTGGTTGCTTCTGCGCTGCGGCTGTTGTTGGCGAGCGTTTTTTGACGCGGTGCTTTCTCGTAGGGTTGCGGCCCTGCTACTTGCATCGCGTTTCCCGTCGAGGTCCCTTCGATGTGCTTGCGCGAGGTCGAGTGGGGAGCCTGACCAAGAGGTTGCGGGATTTTGGTGACGCCGATTTTGGTCACGGCCCATCTGTGCCGTTGCCG